GTACTTTTTATGAGATATGGGTATAACAACATCTAATGTGGATTTTTTCTGGGAAATGAGATAAAGTGTATCCTTTAGCAAAATTTATTTATTAATTAGATAAAATTCAAAAATTCAAATTTTATTAATAAAATTCCATATTACATATATTTATAAAATATTTATAGGCAATGTATGCAGGAGTTCCGCAAATTTGTATTCCTTACCATACTGAACAAGAATACACCGCAGCTATTGTTCAAAATTTGGGAATTGGTATATGGGTTAACCGTCCGAACCTTGCTAATCATATATACAATGCTTTATATCAAATATTGCCTCATCCTGGATATGACCCCAGTTATTCTGAAAAGGCTTGGAAATTACGAGGAAATATAATTAATGATTTTAATCACTACAGCCAGACAAAAAAATTTTTAGATATTGTTGATCGTACAATTCGTCATTGAGAAGAGGGAAAAATTTTATTTTAAATTTAAAAAAACAAAATTATGGGAAAAGGATTCAATTATTTATGAATAGTTGGATAATTGTGGGCTGGCGCAATTGTAAATTGTCGGGGTTTTATTTTTAGAATTTAGACGTAGTTTCGAAATTTGAGTTCGAAATTGAAGACATCCTTCATTTAAAATCATCCCTTGAAGCATTTAAAAATTTTTTAAACAATTTTCATTATACGGTTATTGTTAATGAAAAAATCAAGTTGCGCCAGCCCTGATTGGTTATGTTTAGCAATTTTGAGTATGGGTTTTTAAGAACTTTTCCTAACATTATTATATTATTTTCTTTAGTTTTTTAAAATTAATTTAACTTTTTATTATTTTTTATGTAATTTCTAACCATTTTTATTATTGTTCTTTGCTATAAGAACTGGGAATGGTCATCCAATACCCGACCTTTATCGAACCACTATTAGAAATATTTTAATACCTGACCCAATCCGACTTTATTTTCGACTCGTCCCATTCGTATTTATTAACTTTATTTCTTTTATTTTGGATTAAACGTAACAATGGGAAAAATTCTATTGTGTTTTTTGAATTATTTTTAAAGTTTATGCAATGGTTTATTGAAAATTTTGAAAAATTTTTTTGAAAAATTTTTTTATTGAAAAACTAAGCTAATTGGTTAGCCTAATATAATACAATTGGTTAGCCTAATATATAATTTATTTTATTAGACCAAGATTATTATAAAATTTATCCGCTTTCTTTCAACTTTTTTTTATTTTCACCCGCTTTCCGTTTTCCGCTTTTTAAAATTCCAAATTACCCAGCCATGCTATATACAATCTATTTTTGTTGACTAAAATTCTTTAAATTAAAACAGCTCAACCGAACATGAAATTGTTTATCAACCACTGTGGTCAAAATAGCGTTAACGAGGTAAATAAAATAAAATTACATTCTCTATTAATGAATAATAAATTTGAAATTTTTACAATTAGACACAAGTTTTACAATTAGACACAAGTGACTTAAAATACGGGTTATTAAGGGAAATCAAGAAAGATATCAGTGGAAATCAAGAAATTATCAGTGGGATAAAGTTGGTATCGTTGCTATCGTGGCGTTTGATGGTAATAAAATAATTATCATTTAATTTTTGGGATAGTGGATATATCTTTGTGTCTAAGATTTATCAGGGGTCAACTAATCTCATGTGTCTAGGGATTACCTAATCTCTGTTTAGTGATTTATCAGCATTAATCACCGATATCCTCCACATCCCTTCTGTACTTCCGATATTGGTTGATTAAGAAGGATTTATGATTCAACTTATCGCTTGATCACTCTTAATCAACCAAAATCGCCTAATATGACTCCCCTTCATTATTCCCTCAAATTCCTATATCAAACCTTAATCCAATGATCTCTTTTAAATCCCACTTGATTAATACAGAACCCATTTCATCATCCGATATAAATCCATTTATATACCCAAAATCCACTTTTACCCCACCAATTAATCGGATTATATCTCTTTAATCCTCTCAGGTTTTGTTTATCAAAGAATCAAGTGAAACCGACAACGCTACTTAGAATAAATAAAATAATTCAACGTCTCTTATTATTTTTTCAAATATAGGGGAAAAATATTTTTGGGGGGAGTACTATTTTAGGGGGAGTACTAATTCAGGGGGGAGTACTATTTTTCAACCCTTCTCCAAAGGGGAGTACTATTTAAGGGGGGAGTGCTAATTTAGGGGGGAGTACTATTTCAGGAAATACGGTATATTATTTTCTTTAGTTTTTTAAAATTAATTTAACTTTTTATTATTTTTATATACCCAAATTTATATACCCAAACCCTACAGTAAGCCTGACTTGTTCTCAACCAGCCCCATCAGTGTAAATTACCTATACTTCTTTTTACACAATTTTATACCATTTTTAATTATTTTTTACACAATTTTATACCATTTTTAATTATTTTTTTGCTATCACGGATGGGACTGGTCATCCAGGCCGGTCATCCAATACCCGGCCTTTATTGACCCACTACTAGAAAAAATTTTAATACCTGACCCAATCCGACTTTATTTTCGACTCGTCCCATCCGTATTTATTAACTTTATTTCTTTTATTTTGGATTAAACGTAAAAATGGGAAAAATTTCATTGTGTTTTTTCAATTATTTTTAAAGTTTATGCAATGGGTTATGAAAATTTTGACAAATTCCAAAACTTTTGATTGAGAAAAACAGGGGTTGTTTTTAATTTGGCCGTAATTTTCAATTTAACGCGAAATTAAAGACACTTCATTTAAATTTCCTTTGAAATTTAGCGAAATCTATTAGAAAAGCTAACTTATAATAGATTATTTTCCATAAAAAATCGATTGCGCTCAGCACTGATCAAACAAGAATTATTTTAAATTTTGAAAAACCCTACAGTAAGCCTGACTTGTTCTCAACCAGCCCCATCAGTGTAAATTACCTATACTTCTTTATAATTAGTAGGGTTGTACCCCGAACGTTCGGGGGCGGGTATGTCGGGGTACGGGGTTTTCCAATTGTTTCGGGGCGGGGTTCGGGTCGGGGGAGCAAAATATGGCCGGGGTTCGGGTCGGGGTACGGGGGTTTAGTGGAAAAATTTTTAGAGAAAAATTCGTTGATTTATTCAAAAATTAAGTAGGATTTGGAGAAATTAGAGGGGATTTGAAGGGATTAAAGTGTATAACATGGGATATAAGTGGATCTGGAGGGATTAAGTGGGATCTTTAGGGATTAAATGGTATATCTAGGGATACAAGGTGATCTGGAGTGATTTTTGTTGGTTCAAGGGATATTAGTGATTTATAAGGATATTGATGTATTGCGGATAAGGGCATTTGCACGGATATCAGGAGATATCTTCGATAAATCATTAAATCTCCCACGAAATCCTTGTTAATTCCGTTATTCCTTTAACTCCCTTTAAAACTCCTTAATTCTTCGATATCCTACAAATCCCTTTATATCTCTGATTAACATGACCTCGATAGTTTACCAACTGTTATGGTTGAGAAGTGATGATACAGAGGGTTTGAAGGATTAAGGGTGGTTCAAGGGATATCAGTTAAAAATAAAATTAATATTTTCAAATTAAAATTTAACTCGTTAATAATTTGTTTTTGTGAAAAAATATAAAAACAACAGAGTTATCCTTATATGGGTCCGAACCCAATCCTATATTAATGAAATATCGGCTAAAACCAACGACTAAGCCACTCAACCAAAAGTCTCTTAATAAAGAAGGAAAGAAAATTATGATATTTCATTCATTTTTCTTTCAAAAATAATAAAAGCCCAGTAAAATGGGTGGAAATTTTTTAAATTTTCTTCTTAATTTCTCCAAAAAATGACATTTTTTGGGGATATAAACCCCGTAACCCCGAAACTTTTTGGGCCGGGGAACGGGGTTTTCACTTTTTTTCGGGGCGGGGTTCGGGTCGGGGAGAATCGTGAAAAAATCGTTCGGGAACGGGGTCGGGGTTCGGGGTACGGGGTCGGGGTACAACTCTAATAATTAGATGTATCTTACGAGATACGAACATTTAGCCAAATTTCTTTCATTTATAGCGCCGAAGGCGAAATTTTTGTGAAATTTGAAGGTGCAATAAGAAGAAGTCTTCCATTTTTGTGCCGCAGGACACTTTCTGGTCAAATTTAATCCATTTAGGTTATAGACATGGACTGGATTCTGGATCCAGGAAAAATCCAGACTGGATCCAGATCTAGACCGATCTCTAGAATGTATACTCTTAATTTATCGTTTTATTGAAAATAAATATTTTGATGTTAATGCCCTCTCATCAAGATATCCATTAAACTACTTTAAAAACTAATTATTTTTTGTTGACATTTAAAGTAATTATTATTGTGAAATTTAATTGCTTTTGTAAGTTATTTTTGTTTATGCATTAATCCATTAGCATGTTGGCATGCATACGTATTATAGATTTTATTTTTTATTTATCCAAAAATTCTAAAAAATCCCATGAAAGGGAGTCTATTGCAACGTTGGTTAAAATATATTTTTAAAATAATAAAAAATTATTTCCGTTTCATTTAAATTTTTTGTTTAGTTAGCCGTTTTAAATAAATTGAAGTTCTTTTAATTTAAATAAAATCTTCCAATAATCTTTTCTAAATGATGTTATAGACTTGTTAATTTAATATCTCTTAACTAGAGTCCGGAATTTCCTGCCATACCTTATTCCATACCATAATATCGAAAAAGACCAATAACGATAGAAATTTATCGTTTATGATTTGTGGGATATAAATAGTGGGGACAAGAAGTTAAGTCAGGATATGCAGGATTAAGTTGATTTGGAGGGCATCAGAGGATTTAAAGGGATATCGTTAGATTTCGAGAGATATCGGGAGATTTTGATGGACAGAATACATATAAATACCGCAAAATACTTTCTGTAGCTATCTAATTTTTATACAAAATGTCCATTTATAAGTTTCTCGATTATATTATTTAAAAATTAGAATATTTATATTTAAAAATGCAAATAAACGTAATTAAACAATGCAAAGTTTGTGAGGCAAAAGAAAATGTTTATTTTCATTATGGAGTTTGTACTTGCAGAGCATGCGGGGCTTTTTTCAGGTATTTTATTTGGTTAAATTTTTCTTAATAGAACCACAAGACTTGTAATCCAGGGATGAGCTCTTCTGCATTTATACGGAACGCAGAAGATATCCCCTTGTATGCTCCTATAAAAGCACACTCCTATCGAGTTACCGTGTTGATAACCAGTGCTTGGACTCTCGTACCAACATTCGTACTCGTACCTGGTACGAACTACGAGTACGAACTAAAATAAAAAAACATTATTAAATACTAGGTATCAGGCTAAAAATAGGGGAAGCTTATTCGAGCGGGTGGTTGAGTGGTGAAAATGTCCGAGTTACCGTGGTTTGCACACCTAAGACATTGATTAGCTCTTATTAAGAAACGTTGATTTAATTAAAAAAATTTATCAAAAGGCGTTATCTTGCAAACGAAAATAAATGCAAATATACTAACTGTAAATGTTTGCCGGAACAATTGTCAGAAGGAAATATAGATGAAAGACCCAAAACAAATTTGACAAAATGTAAAAAATGTAGACTTGAAAAATGTCTTAGTGTTGGAATGAAGATTGGGTTTGTTAAGATTAGGGTTTGACCCCGACCCCGAACCCCGACCCCGTTCCCGAACGATTTTTTCACGATACTCCCCGACCCGAACCCCGCCCCGAAAAAAAAGTGAAAACCCCGTACCCCGACCCGAAAAGTTTCGGGGTTATCGGGGGTTTTATATACCAAAAAATGCCATTTTTGGGAGAATTTTAAGAGAAAAATTTTAAAAATTTACTCCCAATTTACTTTGCCTTTATTATTTTTGAAAGAAAAATTAAAAAAATATCGAAATTCTTTTTCCTGCTATGTATGTTAAGAGACAGAGACTTGTGGTTGAGTGGCTTAGTTGTTGGTTTTAACCTATGTTTCCATTAATTTAGAGTTGGGTTCGGATCAGACATGCACGAAACTCCAAAATTTTTTCAGACGAAACGAAACGAAACAAAATTTTTAAAAAATCGTTTCGTTTACGAAACGAGACGAAACAGTAAAAATCTAGCGAAACGAAACGAAACAAAACGAAACATTCTAATTTTAAAAAAATTTAATAAAAACGGCTTTATTTTTTTAATTATTCGATTTTAAACGCGTTAATAGGCCAGTTATGGCTTTGCGGGACTTTAAACTGTGGTTTAAGGGCCCGCAAAAATTTGACAGATTCGTCTTTATCTTTCGAGACCCATGACTCCACTTAAACCTACAACATTTCTACAAAAGCGAATATCTCTGATATCCAACAAAATCCCCGGATATCCGTTCAAACAATCTTAATCCAATGAACTCAAATTAATCCTTGAAATCCATGTTAATCACCGAAATTTATTAATCTCTTAATCTACAGAAATCCCTTTTAATCCCCCCGATATCCGTCCTAATCTCTTTTAATCTTCACTATCCATATATATCACATTAAACCTACAAATCCTCCGATATCGCTATTAATCACCTCTAATCCCTCGATATCTATGTACATTGATCCGTTTATATATCATTAATCTTCCAAATACCCTCTTAATCACTTCTAATCCTTCTATATCCCACCATGGAGACTCAACTAAGGGGACACAACAATTAATCAACAATTAAAAATTTTATGGGGGAGGAGGCTTATTTTAGGAGGGGGCTTATTTTAGAGGGGGGCTTATTTTTTCGATCGACCTCGCGAGGGGGCTTATTTTAAAATGAATTAAAAATGAATTAAAAATTAAAGGACTATGCAGCAACAAATCAATCAGTCTCGACACTTTCTCCATTAGCCAGTTTTGTTCCAACAGTAGAAGGAACAGGAAAATCATGTAAATACAGTACTTCAGCAATCAAAATAAATTCTTAAATTAAAAATTTCAAAATATATTCTATTTAATTATTATTTAGTTTTTTAGTGTTTAATAATGTAAAAAATTTTTTATTTAATTTTCCTTAGAATAAATTAGGTAGGTATTTTAATATTTCCCTCGATAATTAGGTCTGCAATAGAAAATATAATTTAGAATTGTATAGAGATTTAGTGATAAAATTAAATGAGTAACTTGTAAAATATGGTATAGATCGATTTAATACAAAAATGTGAAAATAAACAAAAAATTCAAAACCTTTAATAAATTCATTTTTATAAAAATCTTTAATAACAACACACAAGAAATACGGTAACAATTTATTAAAAAATAACACCCCTAAAAATTTAATCAAAAAAAAGCGACCCCATTTTCCCCTATTTTTGTTTTTGGAAAAGGTCACACCCTGTCTGGAATGAAAACTTTACATATTTTTTGATCAACACCAAATTATTTTTGATGACCCTTTGATTTTGCTTGTATTCAGTTTATGGCGTCAAAATATAATTCAAAAAAGGCTTGTATTTTCACTTTGTTGACGCCTAATTTATATTTTCTTTTTCTTTATATTTGTTAGTTTTTTGCTTTTTTTGTTAGTTTCTATAAAATTCTCAGTTAAGATTCTTTGTCAATTAATTGGTTAAAAATCATTTTTTAATTTTTCATTTTTTTCTCTTATTTTTTGCACTTTTCTTCTATTTATTTTTTTAGACATTTTTTTAAATGTAAACAGTTTTACTATGTTTATTTAATTTTTTGACGTATCTTTCTAATGAATATTTATTCTCAATATCAGGGTTGACGCGGGTACAAAAAATTTTCGGGTACGGGTTTCGGGTATCGGGTTGGAGCGTTTTCATTTCGGGTCACGGGTTTCGGGTTGGCAAAAATATCGGGTACGGGTTTCGGGTTATAAAATTTTCATTTCGGGTATCGAGTTTCGGGTTGGCAAAAATTTCGGGTACGGGTTTCGGGTTTGGCGAAAAATTCGGGTTATTTTCGGGTGTTCGGCTATTGGTGAACTAAATTGCATAATAGGATTTTGGGTGATATAGAGAGAAGCAAATTTGAAGAGATTAACATTGTGGGATTTGGGGATTAAGAGGGATATCATGGTAAAATCCCACTATATTGGTAAAATCCCACCTTGATAAAATCCACTATGTGCTAATATCCCTCCGCCTTATCTCCATAAAAGCCTCCAAATTTCTCCCGTTTTTAGCGCCGCAGGCGAAAATTTTGAGAATTTCGAAGACAAAGACGCCAATTTTCTTCCATTTTTTGCGCCGCAGGCGAAAATTTTGCAAAATTCATGACTAAATTAAAATTTTTAATGCTCTTTCAAGCTTAAAATATTAAAAAAATAAATTTAAAAATCTAAGATGAAAATCAATGTTTAAAGGCATTTATTTTTGAAAAGAAAAATTTTTTAGGCCTTATTTTCAGCCCTGGACTCAAACCCACGCCCAGAAAATATCGAGCCAGCGGCTTTCACACTCAACCACCGATTAACAGAATGAAAAATTAAAGAAATTATCGGGGTAATCTTCTGCTTCATTGGTCCCTAGAAAAAATGTGGTTGAAGTGCTTTTTCGATATTTTTGAGGTCTGCAAGTAGGTAATCGAATGTGCTAAGTCAGAATCTGAGCTTAGAATTTGTTTATTTCGAACCCCGGACCCGAATTCGACCAAGTCTAATTCGAGGTAAGAATTCGAAACTATTAGGCTATGCTATTCTGACGCGTCTTTTCAAGCTGAGTCGATTGATATCAAAATGATTGTGTTTCGACAACCTTAGACTGAGTTATGATCAATTAAATACATGCTTGGTTAGACTTTCATATATAAATCATCCACCATAACTTAGTCTAAAGATGTCGAAACGTAATAATTTTGATACCAATCGACTCAGCTCGAAGAGACGAATCCGATTAAACAAAAAATTTGAAATTTTGAATTTTTACCCCATATCCGACTTGGTCGAATTCGGGTTCAGGATTCGAAATAAACAAATTCTAAGCTCATATTCGAACTCAGCACACTTGACTACCTACCGGTAGACCTCAAAAATGCCGAACTAGCACTTTTTCCTCATTTTTTTCTAGGGACCAATGAAGCAGAAGATTACTAATTTCGGGTTTTAACCAATTTCGGGTCACGGGTTCGGGTTGGAAAAAATATCGGGTACGGGTTTCGGGTTTCGGGTTGGAAAATTTTCATTTCGGGTTTCGGGTACAAAAAAAGGCCGGGTTTCGGGTATCGGGTTTCGGGCGGCAACCCTGCTCAATATGTTTCTAAATTTATTTACTTTTAATTTTTTAATTTTTAATAATATTAATGCTAATCCCTTATTTACTATACTGAAATTAATTTACTTTATAAAACTTTTAAGTGCAAACTTAAACTTGTTTACTCAAAATTATTTTTAGGAAATTAGTTAATAAAACTTAGGAAATCCAAGCCTAATTAATTAAACTTGTTTGTTTCGAGTTTTATTTTGTTTTTGAGTGAAATAATTAAAAAAATATTTTTTTAAATTAATTTAATTTTCCCCTTGATTTAATTTAATTTTCATTATACAGATTTTAGGCAAAATTTTAAAAAGTTAAGAAAATGACAAATGCAAAAAATGACTCGTTTAGTTACGCCATAATAAAGTAAATCCTTAACAAATATTAAAAATATATTTTGATTTCAAATTTTAAGAATGGCAAAGACAATTGAGAATGACGAAAAACGTTTTGATTTTATGCGAAGGTTTTTTAATTTAAATTTTATTTAAAAACTTTAATTTTTTAGGCAAGTAAATTCTCTTGAAGATTGTATGAAGGATGGTCCAGAAAAATGGAAAACAATTAGATCTTTGGTTATTTCGTCCTTAAAACATTTTATTCGGAAAAACTATAAAAGTGATCCCCGAATGCTTGATTTTTGGTATCTTATGGTAAATAAAAAATTTTTCAAATTAATTTTTTGAGAATAAATTTTGCGAACAAAGTTAGGGTTTTTGGAACGAGAAACACTTGAGGATATAGTAGTACCAGAATCTCGATAATGTAGTGTGCCATAGGTAAAAGCTTGTGGGACGTGACAAGCAAATCATGCCACCTCAGTTCTTCAGGATCTTTCAAATGAGCTAGTATGGTATGTG